CCGTGACAGTGATCCATTACCCTACATTTTGAAACTATGGTCTGTTTCTCTTCAAGTGTTTGCACATAGTATTCCCTTAGTACTGTGTGTTTTTCTCACCTAGTATTTATCTCATTAATTACTAAAATACTGATAAACACTTGTAAACTAAAACCTTTTAAAACCTAGTAAAATAAAAATTACTGGACTTTAAAACATATTAGGACCTAACAATAAATCCATTATTTTTAGTTTTTTACTTTAAAAGTCCTTGTTTAAGGGGCCAGGGAAGTGGCTCAAAGGTCTGCAGCATAAGCTTAGCATGCAGAGGTTTAATCCCTGACACTGCCAGAGGTGACCCCGAAACAAAAGCAAAGCAAAGAACCAAATGAAATGGTAAAGGTAAAGGCCCTCCCGTTGATCATCGATTTGCTCGAGCGGGCCCAGTAACGTCTCCATTGGAGACTTTGTTGTTACTGTGTCTGGCATATCGAATACTCTCGGTAGCTTGCCGGGCTCTCCGAGAGGGGCGGAGGAATCGAACTTGGGTCGGCCATGTTGGCTGCGTGCAAGGCAGACGCCCTACCCGCTGTGCTATGAGTCAGCCTTTATTTCAAATAAATATTTGATCTGTGGATCTCATTTGATTTTACATAATTTTAATGTCTAAGTAGGATAATTCATCAAATATGAACTAAGGAACTATAGAAAAAGAACTTTATGAAATTCTAAATTCTTCCTAAATTCAAATTCACTATTCTTACTTAAGGGATGAAAACTTTTGAAAATTGATGTTCTTTTTAATAGATTATTCACTGCAGCACTGTTGTAATTTCAAGATAACGGTAATAATTTACATGTCTAATAAGGAACTACTAAAAATTGTGGGAAACTGTCCTCTTAATAAAAGTCTCAAGGTCAGGAGTGTCCTTTGGGTAAAACAAGTTTAGCTTAGTTTAAACAATGAGGACTGCTGCAGTAAATTGGGGCAAAAATAGAATAAGAGATTACCACAACCTCAGTGCTATACATTGAAAGTACTCTTTGCTAGTTTATCACCCTCAGGCCACATCTACGTAAATATCCCAGCCTTCACTCTTAAAGTACTTGCTAACTGTTCTTAATGTATTTGTTAACACTGAACAAAGGTTCCCAGGTCTGGAGCAACAGGGAGCCAGGGTAAGGGCACGCAAGTGTATGCAATGGCCAGTTTATCCCCTTGTTTAATAGCAGCAACCAGAACAGTGTCTCATTCTTTGAAACTAACCCTGTTTGACAAAGGTGTGAGGTGCAAATTTGACTGGTTTGATTGTGGTAAATAACTATCAATCTACCAACCCCCCCCACCCACGTGTGTGTGTGTGTGTGTGTGTGTGTGTGTGAGAGAGAGAGAGAGAGAGAGAGAGAGAGAGAGAGAGAGAGAGAGAGAGAATCATATAATAAAATGCTATGTAACAATAAAAAAGGAAAAGAAAAAAAGGTGGGGGACAAAGAGATATGCTACCAGTGGAGGCCCCTTCCCTATCTACCCACTTGCCTCAGACAGTACTAGGTTAAGGTACCTGCCTTGCGGGCTGCCAGTCCAGGTTTGATCCCTTGTACCACGTAAGGTTTCTGGAGTGTGCCAGGAATGATCCCAAAGCATAGATCCATGAGTGATTCCAGAGTACTGCCAGGTGTGACCCTCCCACCACCAAAAAACACAAAAATGGAGGAAATTACTTGCAAAACATGTATCTGATAACACGTATCTTGATGTCATCTGAGTGATTCTAGCCCTGAGTACAAAGCTAGGATGAAGTGTAATAGGAGTGGCCTAAGAACAAAATACAAAAAAAAAAAAAACCACTAACAACAACAAAAATATGCAAATCAAAACCAAAATAAGCTGCCACTTCATAGTAGGTAATTATATATGTTGGCAGAAAATATGGAGAAGTTGGAGACCCCATACCTCAGAAGAAATTTAAATGGGGAGCAGAAGCAATGATACATCAGACAGGGCCTTGCACAAGGTTAACTCAGGCTTGTTCTCTGACATCCTAAGGTCCACCGAGCCCACCAGGAAAGATTCCTGAGTGCAGAGCCAAGAGCAACCCCTGAGCACCTCCGGGGTGCCCCCCCCAAAAAAGATTATTGACAAAAGTGTAATTCACAAAAATCAAAGTACCCAAATGTCCATCAATGATAAATTTTTAATGATAAAACTAGACATGAATACTAGTCAACAATTTATATTTATGTGGTACAATGTGAATAAATCTTTAACATTGTGAAGTGAAACAAAAGTGCACATACTGTATAATCTCACTTAAATGAAATGTCCAGCATAGACAAATCTAGAAACACAGAAAGTAAAATGAATTACTTTTCAATTGAAAATACAAAAACATTTTTTAAGGAGAAAAGGCCTGAAAAATTCTACACAGCTAAAGATAATTCATAAGCCTCAAACATAGAAAACCATATTGACTTTTTTTTTTTTGCTTTTTGGGTCACACCTGGCTCTGCACTCAGGAGTTACTCCTGGCGGTGCTCAGCGGTGCTCAGGGGACCATATGGGATGCTGGGAATCGAACCCATATGGGATGCTGGGAATCGAACCCGGGTCGGCCCCGTGCAGGGCAAACGCCCTACCCGCTGTGCTGTCGCTCCGGCCCCCCCAAATTGACTTTGTTGAGTGTTATCAAATGACCAAAATCCTTTTTGTTAAATTCTGGTCTAGTCTTGAACTGAAAATTACTATGATTAAACCATTATTTGCTAAATATCTATGTATTTTATAAAGGCACTCATTAACACAAAGCTAAAACCTTAAGTCCTAGTAAATAATTCTAATAAATGCAAACAGTACCGTTTCTTGGAATACTAGAACAAAGTCAAATACTGATTTGAGAGTCTTAGGTTGCCATTTACCAAGTAGGTGATAATCAACAATTAACATGGTCTTTGTGAGGCTCAGGTCTCACTTGTTAAATCTGGAATTATAACCTAATTTTACTGAGAAAAGAACTATTCCAGATACTTTACTGAAAGAGAGGGGGCATAATGTCTGGATTTGTTTCACTCTTTCTAAACGCACTGTTGCCATTTTTTAACCACTTATATGTAATAAAAAAGGAATTTAAAAAAAATCTCGACGTATAGGGTCCTTGGGGGCCATTCACTTTAAGAGACAACCACAAAAAGAAGATCAAAAATGACTTTCTAGTGCCTTTCAAAGCCTTTTCACCTTCCGAATTCAGGAGAAAAAAACCTGGAAGAAGCAAAGCTAAACATTTATTTTTCTGAAAGCTATGGTTAAACAAGAGATAAACAAGGGCCACAAAATTCCGCTTTTTAAACCACTTTCCTCAAAACGGACCCAAGAATCTAACCCGAAGTGGGGGGGGGGGGGGGGCCCGCGGGGGTAAATCCCATTTGTTTATTGATGCTAATCTCGCTATTCTCAAACTCCAAGGTTAAGCGGGGGAGGGGGCCGAGTGGCGATGCAAACTCAGATTCTAAAGTGATAAAAAAAAGGAAGCTCGGCTCTTTCGACCCACCGGCTACCGGGATCTAGTTCACGGCCAGCCGGCCAGTAACGATCCTGCAATCCAGCGCGCCCGGGGGCGAGGGGACACTCCCTCGCCGTCGGGTTTCGCCGGGGCAGGGTGCGGGGACGGAGGCGGGGCCCGTTCTCCCGTTCTCCCGCGCCCCGGCGGGGAGCCGAGCGCTGGCGGAGGTCAAAGAGGTGCCATTTTTCCAGTCACCGGAGTCTCCCCCCACCCCCACCCCGGGCTCGTGCGTGGCTTTTGCTTAGCCGGTCGCCAGGCGGAGTCGTTCAACTTGGACGTGCACCCCCCCCCGCCCGGAGGAGGGGAGGGGACGCGCGGCACGCGCCCACCCTCCAGCGGGCAGAACCGCCTGGTTCCACCTTCACGCCGCTTCGAACCGATCCGCACTCTGGGCCGCTTAATAGTTGACGGAGAAACCGAGAAACCCTTTCCGGGCGTCAGATGGCTCCCGCCGTTTTATAGCTACGAGATGCAGCATCTATATACTGATATATATATAATAACAAAAATACTATATTCACGTATTTGTGTCTGCACGACTCTTTCGAGAACTTTTTCTTTTTTCTGAAAAGACGGGGTGGGGGATGGGGAGACACACACACGCGGCGGCGAGCTCCCCGCCCACGCGAAAAGCCCTCGCAACGGCCGGCCCGTGAAGGGATTTCCCTCGCTCGCGGGCGAAGTTGCCACGCGCCGCCCGCCTCAGAGCTCGGCCTTCGAACCGCCGCCTTCGCCCCGGCCCTCCCGCCCGTCGCGCTTCCACGCCCGGGGGCCACGGGCGGCGGCCGGTCCCCTCAGGGCCGCGCGAGGACAGGCTGAGGCGCGGGTGGGGGCGGCGGCGGCGGCGGCGGCAAAGCGCGGCGGGTCGCCGAGCCCCGAGGGCGCGCGGGCGGGCGGGCGGAAAGGAGGGACACCCGTGACTCACTCGTCCCGGGCCCGCCGCCAGACCGCGCGGGGCCCCCGCTCCCCCGCGCGCCGCCCCGGCCTCGCAGCGCCCCCCAGAGGCCGGGGCGGGCTGCCCTCCCGGGACCGACCCCCCGAGTTGGCAGCGGGTAGGCGGGGAGGACTCCCCCAGCTCCCCCACCCCCGGAGGTCCCGGCTCCCGCACAGACCTGAGACGCCGCCTCTCAGCAGCCTCGGACCGCCCGAGCGGGGGAGGGGGGAGGGGAGGGGAGCGGAGGGGAGGGGGAGAGGCCGCTCGCGCCCCGCCCATCGCGCGGCAACCCGCCCCCTCCCCCGCCCCCCGCCCTCCACGAGCATGCGCGCCGGGCCCGCTCGCGCCTGCGCGCCCCCGCCGGCACGCGCCGCCGCCGCCAGGGGAGGCCGGACGAGGCGGCGGCGGAGGCGGAGGCCCCGCTCCCTGGGCGGCGCGCGCCCCCCCCGCCCCGCCATTCACAGGCGACGTTGGCCCGCGGTCCTCCCTCCTCCCAGCCCGTCCTTCTTTTGCCCCCCCCGCCCGCCCCCGCCCCCCGTTAGGCGGCGAGCGCCCGAGGGGAGGGGACAGCCCGGAAGGCAGGAAGCTGCGGCTTAAAAGGGCAGCCCGCGCCGGGCCTTTCCTCCCTCGCTCCGTCCCCGGGCTCCCCCGAGTGCCTCTCCGTGGCCTGCGCCCCGCCGCCATGTACCGCTGTCTGGGCGAAGCGCTGCTGCTGTCCCGCGCCGGGCCCGGCGCCCTGGCCTCGGCGGCGGCGGCGGCGACCAGCGAGTCGGCCGCGCTGCTGGGCCGGGCCCGCGGGCAGCCCGCCGCCGCCGCCGCCGCCCCGCTGCCGGGGTTCGGCGCGCCCGCCCGGCGGCACTACAGCGAGGCGGCGGCCGACCGCGAGGACGACCCCAACTTCTTCAAGATGGTGGAGGGCTTCTTCGACCGCGGCGCCAGCATCGTGGAGGACAAGCTCGTGGAGGACCTCAAGACCCGGGAGAGCGCCGAGCAGAAGCGGAACCGGGTGCGGGGCATCCTGCGGATCATCAAGCCCTGCAACCATGTGCTGAGCCTGTCCTTCCCCATCCGCCGCGACGACGGCTCCTGGGAGGTCATCGAGGGCTACCGGGCCCAGCACAGCCAGCACCGCACGCCGTGCAAAGGAGGTGAGCGCCGGCTCGAGCCCCTCGCGCCCATCCCCTCCTCCCGCCCCGCCCCGCACGGTCGCTGCCCGGGGGTCTGCAGCCCGGGTCGGCCGGCCCTGCCCGGCCCCCGCCGCGGGTAAGGTTTCTGCAGCCCTTCCTGCGGCGCGGTGGTTGACTCCGTCTCCTTTCCCTCCCCCCCCGAGAGCCATCCTCCGGGACTCCTGCAGAGGTTGATGCTGCACCGTTCTTTTCTTTTTCATCCTGGTGCAAGTGACTCACCAGGGTGGGTCCCGACAACATGCACTTCTAGAAAAGGGAACGGTCGGCCCCGTCCGATTGGATCTGTGCATTTTGTGGTTTTGAGGTTGTTTGTGTGTGTGTGTGGGGGGGGGTGCTTACTGTGTTACTGTGACTTAGACGCTGAGATGCACGCTAAGATTCTTTTCCCCCAAGGGGGTGGGGGGTGGGGTCGCACTGTTTACGGCAGTGACGGGACTGGGTAACAACATGCACAATTCTGGCAGTTTTAAAATGGATTAGCCGATGGTACCTTGATCTTTTAGCATGGGCTATTTTCTGTCCTGATAACTTCGGTTTCTTACCAAAAAAAGTAATGCATGAGCGGTGTGACATCTGACAAATAAACACCGGGCGTCCTGACAGTAAATCTAAAGGGTGTAAACTGCGGGACTGCCCGCCAGCCAATGGAATGAAATAGCCCTGGGGGTGTGTACTAGTCCTGGCTAGCACCAGATTCGAGCTGGGGGGAAAGATAAAAGTATAGGAAGTAAGGAGCTGGCTGCTTTAGGATTTAGTTGTCTTCAAGTCATCGTGTAGTTTAAATCTTTGAAATGTGTGTAGTTCCGACTTAGGCAGTCCGATGCTCTCTTTGAGTAAATAAGAGGTTTTCCTTTCGGTGTTTCACCCAATAAGTTGCACAATGGATCGTTAAAGGTGCTTTAAAGTAACCTAAAATAGAAAGGTCGAAACCACTTTTTCTGTTAAAAAAGTGCCATGAAGGGCCCAAGTAGGTGAAGAGTCTCGTTGAAGCCAGTGACTTGATTAATAAATACAGAGGATGTTGCTAGACCCTTGCTTGGAATCCTGGAGGGGTCTTTTATTGTATCAGCTGGCTTCTGATGACGGTGTTCAGAAATATTTCTACCAGAAAAATTGAAGCTCTGCTGGCATTCCCAGTCCGGGAACAAAGGTTGCTTCAAACTGTTTAATGATCTACTTTTATTTGCTAAATTTGCATCGATGACCCCACCTACTTCCAGAGTTTCACCTTTGGAGCTGAAGTTACCCTCTACCTCTGCTAGTTTCCTCTTCTACAAACCAACATTTTAATCACTTGACCTTTAATTTCCCTTTCTAGCTCCAAAATTATATAAAAGGTGCATGCTGTCAATCGTCCTGCATCTACCACTCTCTTATTCCCTAAATCAGAAATCCCAGTTCAGACTCCTCCAGAAGGCAAACAAGTGTAGTGGAGTAATGGATACTGTTAGTAGTTGTTTTAATTTGTCTTTAAGTCGACCTTACTGTTAGATTTTGTTGACAGCAATTGATTTTAAAGTTATATAAATAAACCAATGTATTCATTTCTCTGTAGGATCTGCTTTCCTTTCCTTGGAATTCTTTATCTTATTGCTTTAATGGCAACCCCTCTCCTGTCTTTATAAATAACATTTCCACACGCTCACTAAAGCACCTAAACTGTACCAGTTAGTCTATTCCTGCTGTTGCCACAGCACTTTCAGTACCAAAATGTTAGCATAGCAACAGTTTGCCTCAACCATAAACAGTTATTTATTGTAGCATTTGCTTGTTCTAGACAGGAAGATACATTTCTGTTATATTTTTTCCAACTTGTAAGATGCAACTTAAAGCCACTATTAACTTTCTGCGGACAAGCATAGGGAAACTATTGCAATAATGGTGGCAAGCATTGTAAGATGATGTAGTATGAAATTTTTCCTCACTATTTGAAGGGATTGGCAAGGGGGGAGGGGGGAATTTCTGGCCATATCCAGTGGTGTTCGGGGGCTACTCCTGCTTTATGCTCATGGGTTACTCTTGGCTGTGCTAGGGAACCATAATGATGGCCAGGGATTGAGGGTTATCCACATGCAAGTCAAGCACTGCAAGTACTCTACAATTTCTTCAGCCCCAAAGAACATTTTGGTATAATATACTAAATACGTGATCAGCAAAATTTGGGTGCTGGAGATTTTGATGTTCTGCTCCAGGAACTTCCTGCCCATTTTTTATCCCTTGGCTGATTGCGGAATGTAATGTATTTTAAGAATAATTTATTTTTAGTGTTTTTACAACCTAGCATTTATAGGTTTTTCCCTTAGAAGGAACGTGTTTACTTTCTTGTCCCTACTCTTACCTTAGAAATGCAGTATATATTAGGTGATTGAGTTTTTTAAAACGCTTTTAATAACGCCAGTGATCGGTAATTCTTTTCTAAGCAACCTTGAGCACACTTTTTTCTCCCTGTCCTTGCTTAACTGCCTTACTTCTCTACCAGTGTTCTTTGCTAAATAAAGCAAACAAAACACCCTTTCCACTTCGCTCCATTAAAAGAAAAGTTATACTGTATTTTAGGTAATGTGGCTACAAAGGTATTAGTGTTCATGGTTTTGATTTACAAAGTTAAGCACCTTCATCGTTCCTAGAGTATCTTAAGACCTTCTAGCTCTGTCCTTACAGTTCTTACTCTCTTGGTATTATTCCCAGCCCTCAGCTTTCTCGCTAATCTTTCCTCAAAAGCAACCTTATACCTGAGTTTTCCAAAATAAAATACTCAAGGTTGAAGCAAACCATCAATTCTATTATAATCTTAGTAAAGGGAAACAGGTAACTTTAAGTCCTGAGGATGACTGGCGTATACTTTATTCTGAGTAAATATTTAATAACGTGTTGTTTTTGCACTTCTCTTCCCCACATACCATATTTATGTAATGCCACTAGATGTCCATCTGTTGAAGATATTCAAGTGAGGGACCAGAGCCATAGTACAGTGGGTAGGGCATTTGTGTTGCACACAGCCAATCCCATATGGTCCCCCATGCACTTCGAGGAGTGATTCCTGAGTGCAGAGCCATGAGTAACCCCCAAGCATTGCCAGGTGTGGCCCAAAAATAAAACAAAAAAGATTTTGAATTGATTATACCACAGGCTCTGAAGATAAGTTTTTGGTTTTGTTGGTAGTTTGTTTGCTTGATGTGGGGACCATACCCAGTGGTGCTCAAGGCTTACTTTCGGGAACGTATACATACAAAGCAAGTGCCTTGGCTGCTGTAACTAGCTCTCCAGGCTCCTCTGAAGGGACATTTTAAGATGGGGGTTGAAGGGTGCGGAAGAGCAAAGCAATATACAGTGGGTAAGGTGCTTTCCGTTCACACCCAACCTGGGTTCAATCCCAGACACCACATATGCTCCCCAAAGCTCCACCAAGAGTGATCCCTGAATGCAATTTGGGGAAGTAACTCAGTGGTACAGTACTTGAATGGGAAGGTGTGGCATATGCACATTCAACAGAGATGAATATCTGCAAAACTTTCTGCTTTTAGAAATGTCTTCAGAAGGTTTTGTGAGGGGCCGAAGAAACAGTACAGCGGGTAGGGTGGCTGCCTTGTATGCGGCTGACCAGAGTTCGATCCCCAGCAGCCCATATGTCCCACGAGCACCACCAGGAGTAATTTCTGAGTGCAGAGCCAAGAGTAACCCCTGAGCATCGCTGGATGTGATCCAAAAACCAAAAAAAAGGGAAAAAAGATTCTTTTGGAAAAGGGAGGAAATTTGGGCTACACTCCGCTTGGTATTACTATATATGGTGCCAGGGATGAAACCATGTCAGCAAGGTGTAAGACTTAGTCCCAGTGCTATCTCTGAGCCCCAAAGAGTCTCCTGTGTTTGAAAAATAAGCAATTAATTGTTCCTATTAACTTCCAAATTATCTGTATTCCCTTGGTTCTGCCAAAGACTTTTCTGCCATTTTAGGAAGAAGAATGTTTGTCCCCAATTTGGGGGCCAGAGATGTTCAAAGGGCCAGAGTACTTGATTTACATGGGGGAGGCCTGGGTTCAGTTCCCTGGTATATAGTCCTTAAGCAACAAACTAGGTGTGGTCTCTGAGCCCTGTCTGGTATGCCCCCAAAACCAAAATATTGAAAAGTAGCACTGTCCTCCCGTTGTGTTGTTCATCGATTTGCTTGAGCGAATTTTTTTAAGTTGAAATTATTTTGAAGTCAATTTTCAAAATGCAGATTAATAATAGCAACTTGTTAATAGAGGACTCAATTAATTTTTTCCCTCCCCTTACGATTTTTTCAGGTTGAAACTGACATAACTGATTCTTGTTTCATAGAACTATTAAAACATAGAATAGGTTGGATCGCCTTTTGAGTAGAATCTCCTGAAAGTAATAACTTTGATATCTTTCCTATAACTATAAATAAATAGGACCCCACTGAGGTAACTCAGAGGATGAGAGCACATGCTTTGCTTGTTTGGATCTCCATTCCCACAAGGTCCCATCCCTGAAGTACTGACCTGGAAGTAGCCTCTGAACACTACTAAGAGTGACACACTCCACAAAAACTTACAAATAAACAGGAAGAGTTGGGTGGCTTTTGGTCTGGGGAGGGGAGGGGGCAGCTAAGTGTTGAAGCCTGCCTCTCAGATTACTCATTAGAGTAATGATGTAATTTTGTATTGAATGATAGAATTTGTGTGGGGATTACTGAGGACTGATGGTGTTTTACATTTACAATGAGACATCCACACAGGTACAGGAGTTAAGGCGCTTTCTTGATCCATGTCCCTGGATTAGGTCCCTGTACCAGTTCTATCTCTACACAACATGTGGTCTTGAGCACTGTTGGAGCCGCCAAAAGAGGAGTACCCACTGCCTACAGTTAAAAATATTATCTCTGATTTATTTCTGGCATTTTGAATTGACAATCATCAAAATGTGGATTTTAAATAAACTGAGTAGATTTCACACTT